TAAGAATCCTGAAACACCAATTCAAAAGAACTTATGTACTTCAATGTTCATAGCAGCACAATATACATTGGCCAAGTGCTGGAAACAGCCTAAGTTCCCATCAGTAGATGAGTGAATCAAAAAACTATGGTACATTGACATGATAGAATACTACACAGCAGAAAGAAAGAAGGAACTTTTCTTTCCATTCGTAACAGCATGGATGGAATTGGAGAGTATTATGCTAAGTGAAATAAGCCAGGTGGTGAAAGACAAATACCATATGATCTCACCTATAAGTGGAACCTAATCAACAAAACAAGTGAGCAAAATAGAACCAAAGACACAGAAATAAAGAACAAACAGGGACCAGAGGGGCAGGGTGGTGGATAACTGAAGGGGCAAAGAAGGGGAAGGGTCACGTCAAGGAACATGTATAAAGGGCCCCTGGACAAAGACAATGAGGTGGGGGGGAGGATTGAAAGTGGAAGACGGGGGTTTGGTAGGGCAGGGGAGAGTAATGGGGGAACATATGAATGATTGTAAATGAATAACAATAAAAAAGAGAAAAAAATTAAGTAATGACTTCCATTAAAAAAATAAAAATTGAATTAAGCATAGGATGTAATGATAAATTTTTGTTAGAAAATAGAATAATAGAAAATCATAATTGAAGCACTTGTTATAAATAGAAAATTGTTTCTTTGTTATGTAGTGTGATGAAAGCTTTACGAGACACACACAATAATTATTTCCTGCCAAAATAGGAAGGCAGACAAAATATGAGGAATATACGCAATAGTGATAGCATTAGGTTATTTTCCCCTTTTCAGCTGGTGCAATTTTTGTTTAGAGAGATTAAGCCACTTGCCCAAGTTCTCAAAGCTAATAAATGATAGACCTGTACTCAGATTTCAGTTATACTTCACCATCCATTTTAATCTCTACTTACACTGATGCCCAGTAAAACCTCCCATGTCAGAAGCTGATGGTTATTACACATTCTTTGATTTTTAGCTGGGCACATGGTAGTCCAAAAACAAATAGCATTTTCTACTCCAGTTTGCATCTTGCTGTGGTCATGTATCAGAGTTCTGTTCAAAGTAGAAGAAATGATGTAGTATGTGCAACTTTCAGATACCGACTTCAAAGAAAGGGGGCCTGTTCTTCACTCCCACTTCCTCCTTTGTTGCTGCTGCAACACAGGTGTGCTCATAGAAGATGAAGTTTAATGATATGCCCATGTTAAAGAATTACTTTTCAATAATGCTTATTAAAGATTATTTTGTTATTGCCATTGGAAATCTTATGATACTAAAAGCCTAGTTTAAGTCAGTTTTTATAACATGAACCACTTTATTAGTTTGGACCAAAAACTTCAAAAGTAGATTCCTCTCTCCATTTTATTATAAATTTATATTTCCAATAGAGAAGTTACATTATCACACTATATAAATAGGAAATTATGGAGGAAAATATTGTCCATAAAATTAACAAACTTTCATTCATATTTTGTTATTTTTCATCTAGCCACTTTTGTAAGCCTTAATTTTAACAAAAGACATATGAACAAAACTACTACTAATAGAACATCTTGATTATTTTCATTTATTGTATTAAGCTGTAGTTTTACATATTTCTACCTGGTGGTTAAAGTCATTATTTTATGTGTGCATAATATTCCATGGAGAGACTATATTTATTTACTCAAACATTTTATGTTGTTCCCACTTTTTGCTGTAATAAGTCACATCTCCACGATATACCACATGCAAGAATTTTAGAAAGTTACCTCTGAGTCTTGATTTTCTCCTCTGTAAATGAGAATTACAATAGTCCTTACCTCTAAAGTTCTAGGGAAGAATAAATGCATGCACATTTATTTGGTGTTTAGAGTATTTCCTGGCACATGGTAAACACAAAGCATGAAGATATTTTTATTATATTTTTTATAATGGTTTGAGTTTATTGAACAAGCCAGACTTGATGAGGTGTAAGGAGAACTAACTTTATTTTTTCTCCTATTTTCCCTCTAAACTTGTTCTTTTTTTTTTTTTCTGTCTTAGATGGAAATCTCGGGATTTTACTGTCTTTTTAAGGTAATAAACTTAAAGCCCCTCTGTTTTGATGATAAAAGTCTAGTCTAGCTTAATCTCATAATTATTCCATTATTACAATTCAGCCTGGAGAAATAATAAAAACTTTACACTCTTACCCAATACAAAGCTTCTCCCTCCCAGTCCTTGTACCAGATCTAGACTGGGACATCTGGAGTGGGAGAAGTGAGCTGTATTGTTTCCTTCACTATATCCTAGTTCTCCCTTCCCTCCTACTTTTTAGAAACAGTTACTAAATAATAAGTTCTGTTAGAATGTTCCCCATTTGCTTAAAAGTGTTTTTTTCCCCCCAAAATGTTGTTGTTATGGGATAGAAGAGAAAAAGTTTTACTTGGCAAAAAATAGTTTATTATTCTTTCCTTAACAATTAGTCAATCGATATTATTCAATTTTCTTATAGATTTTTTAACAACGTATACATGGAAAGCAGTGTCAGTTTGAAAACTCCCGGGAGCCACTAAATTAAAAAAAAATTTTTTTGATGATTTGATGTGGGCCCATTACCAGCCAAGTAAAAAAAAATATTTGCAGTAGTTCTCTTCTTTTGCCCTAATCTGTTCCAAATACTGTAATGATCTAGCAGCAATTATTCTTCATAATATACAAACTGCTAATAAAGTGTTACAGAAAAATTATTGTGAACAATGTGGTTTTTACTACATGTTAATTTTTATTTCCTCTTAATATTTCCTCACAATATCCATTTCTTTTGGATTACTATGTTCTATTTTGAAGCCAATCTTTCAATTGTGGAGACCACATCAAAAGTCTAAGATTTTGGGCATTCGTAACAAAAATTTGTTTTAAATTCAATATCTTTTTATCAACACTAGAAAATAGATTTGTGTTTCTGTAACCACTTCGTATTCAATCTAGAAATGGGATAGTAAGTGAAGGGACAAGGCATACTTTGTGCTAAATCTTTGAAATATAAATTAAGAGACCACACAAGTAAACTGAAATTTTTCAAATTTTCTTGAGTAATGTCTTACAACCCATAGGGCTGATAAAACTCTGAAATAGTGAACGCTCCAAAATTTTGTGAAATTCAGTATCTCATGAATGAAGCCATGACAGAAGTATTTTAAAGTTACAAAAAGTTTTGGCAACTGTGCTGCATCTGGCATATTAATATTTTTAATTTAACCATAATATAAACAACATAAACTGTTAAGTGTCTAACAAAAGAATATCTCAAAAACTTTTTGCAAACTATGAGATTCTATCTAAGCAATATCAATTATTGTTAACACCGTGTTTTGCTTTTGAGCTCAAAAACACAAGTCAGAAACAATCTTGTAAATCATACATTTCATTTAGAATGATTTGAAAATGTTAATTCAGAGGAATACATTAACAAATATTGTATACCATATGTGAGCATTAGTGCAATTTATGAAAAGCAAAATCAAATGACTTCTTAAGATTGTGTCAAATGCCAAAAGGTAAAGGTATGTCAATTAATTTTTAAGTTTTTCTAGTGTGAATAATTTTCTTAGAGAAATATGCAAATGACACTAATTCAGTAAACATTATAAACTACATACAATATTAATTAGCTAAAATATGAAATTTCTCATTTCTTTTTCAAGTATGTTTATTACAGAAAATTGAACAGCATTTAAAATAATAAAAAGCTTCATATTCCCATTATCTAAAAACTATGTTCATATTTTGGTATATTTCTTTCTAGTGATGTGTTTGTATGTGCATGCATATATGTGTTTTTCAATATTCTTAAGGTCATAATATATTTACCTTGGTATATAGGTATTTTTCTCTCACTTGGCATAAAGTACAATTTTTCATGTCATTTTTAACATGACCATAATCGTTAACTGAATGTATATACCCAAATTTACACATTAGATATTTTAAAAAATATTTTAAAATCTGTCCATAAAATGTATTTTATATTTAGGATAATTTTTTTAGGATAGATTATGAAAAACAAATGTATCACTATTCAAAAAAAAGAATCTTAGCAGACATCAAGATGTCATCAACAAAAAAGGCAAAAATTCTAAATAGCTTAATATAATTATAATAGTTTCTTATGAACACCAACTCCTTAGAGTAGTATGACAAGGAGGAAATTCTTCAGTAATTTCCTTGAACAATTTTATTTGTCATCCCACAATAAACAGCAATATCAACAGGACCTTGACCTTTGAAAATCAGGGCCAAATTTACATCAGAAGAAGAAATGGTTAAGATAAAGAAAGGGATGTATTTTCTGGTGTTAATTCTACTCCTGTCCAGATCTTGTTCTTCCTGTTTAGACTCTTTAGTTTCCCTGGATTTGGAATTAAGGTCTGTCCACACCCAAGGCATTTCCAATTTAGGGGGCAGTTATTTTGCTTTGTCAGCAAAGGCTTCAGTAGCTGCCTTGTGATTTTTAACCCTTTGAATCAAAAGAACGTAACTTACGGGGGAAAAAAATTTTAAAAAGGAAAACATTTTGAAAATTTAGGTTGTGATAAAATTTTCCGATGTTTTACTCTGCAATTCTTTAATACATGAAGGTGAAAGTCTAAAAAAGTAGGATAATGTGTAGGACATGCTTTATTACAGGCATTGCTTCTTTGGGAATCCTGATACAACATCACAGACTTCTTTCAATTGATCTACTTTTCAGTCCATTGCTGTTAAGCTCAGTATAGAGTGAGAGCTTAGTAAGTGTAGATGCCCTGGCTTACCAACAGTTTCCCCAATTCCCCTACATGTCTATGGAACACAGGTGAAATAGTTCTTTACAGCAGGTATATTACAGAGGGTGATTTAAGGAGGCCTTAGCTCTTTAAAGACGTCAGCGACCGCCCACTGAGTGTTTCCTTCCAATTTCTGGCGTCTCCAGGGGCGGGGCATGCGCAGGAATGACGTCACTACCGAGCGCCAGGCGCGCTCCGTTGGCGGCTGATTCAAACCTTCAGGCTGGGTTCTCGGCTCTGAATTAGCGTCGGAACGACGGGTTTGTTTCCGCTCTCGCAGTGGAGGAAAGCTTCTCTGTGGTGCTCGGAGGACCTTGGCAGCGGAGGCGTCTGGTGCAGGGGGAGAGGATGGCGCTCTCTACCACAATATCTCAGAGTAAACGCATAAAGCGGAAGGCTCCCCGCGGCTTCCTTAAGCGCATTTTCAAGCGACAGAAGCCTCACCTTCGTCTAGAGTCAAGTTGTGACTTACTGGTGAGATTCTCTGCCTTTTGGGGCTTGAAGTGGGGCAGGGGCAGGCCGGGGTCGGTAAACCCGAGTCTGTTTCTCCACCCCCAGACAATCTAGTTCTTTCGAGCCTGTGTTTAAGGCGTTTCCAGCAATGAGTAGGCAGGTTTGCCCCTCCTTGCCACGTCGGTTCGTATTCCTGACGCCTAATTGTATTGGAGCACCCCGAAATGTAGTATCTGTACCTTTTTTACTGGAGGCTGTTAGCCACATCAACTTATGGAGAAAACTAACGTTAAGTTCCGAATTAGAGCTTTTAAATACCGCTGTTCAGGAGCACAATACGGTACTGAGTTTAGTGTACTTGCGAGAGGAAGAAAAATACAGCCTTTTAAAAGTATGTTATGGAATTCAGGTTGGGTCACTTTTACTTAACTATCGTAAAAGGCATTACTGACATGTCTTTTTTCACGTTAACCAGCTATGTTGCCTTATTTCCTCTACTTTAGCTTACTTATTACAGAACCTTGAATCAAAAGTTTATTTGTAAGTAGTGTGCTTTCAGCTGTGAGTCAGACAGATAGAATAACTATTAATTCACTTTTAAAAGCAATCTACTAAAACTTGTCTATCTGACTCAGAATATCTGCGGTGTAATGCTTACCTACTAAATAGTTTCAGTCAAACCACTGTGCAATATTTGTCTTGACAGAAACTCAGAGTTTTTATGTTGAATGCCTGGAACATATATTCCTGTAGCAGAATGAACACTGTATCCCTAGGTTTAAACTATGGGAGACACCTTCTCTGGTTTGTCACAAAAGCTTTTTGAATGAAGGAGCCATTGTAAGTGGGCAGTTAATTTTCAGGAAATCAAGGTAAAGAACTGTGGCTAACAAGGACGTATGCCATGGAGAGTGTTTTCAGAATGCATCATTCCATCTGTTTTTAAGCTACATTTTTTTTCCCACTTTTCTCTACTGATTCCTCATCTGCTAACTACTTGCAGGGTTTTTCTTTTTGCTAGACTACTATAGAATTTTCTTCATTTTTCCTTTATTTGGTCTCTGAAGCCAAAACAAATTTTTTCTTTTCTTCGTCAAGTAGCCCTTCTAATATCTTTTGCTCTCCTTTTTCTGTTCCTTTCTTAGACCCCCATAAAAATACTATTTATACTGTTTTGTACAACCCCTTCACCCTGTGGTATTGATAAAGGTGGCAAAAGTGATTTAGATTCAAGTGAATTGATTTATAAGACATTTTTAGGTAATTCTGGAGTTTTCACTGGTCCTGGGTTCCTAAGTGGAGGGGGAACAAATGTACCTGCTCAAGAACATCTAGGAGACTATCATGCATGTAGCTTGGCAGACATTTCTCAAGTAGTCAGATTTCTTCCACATTCACATTTGTCTGCCCCAGGTGACTCGTGGGTGGGTGGGCTGTATTGTATCAAGTTAGCCAAAAAGTTTGCTTTTTTTCCCTGTAAGATGGCTCTAGTAGTGCTTAGTTGTCTTTTACTTCATTTGAAACAATTTTGTTACACTGTATTGTGACAGCTGTCATATCAGTGTGCATTAAAAAAATTGAAATTGGTGGATTTTTGTGTAGCCATTTTAATAATTGAAGATGAAAGAGAATACACAACATTTTTGGCATGTTATGCTTTATTATTTCAAGAAAGATAAAAATGCAACAGAAACACAAGCAAAAAAGATTTGTGCAGTGTATGGAGAAGGTGCTGTGACTGATTGAACGTGTCAAAAGTGGTTTGTGAAGTTTTGTGCTAGAGATTTGTCACTGGACAGTGCTCCACGGTTGGGTAGGCCAGTTGAAGTTGGTAACGATCAAATCAAGGTTAACTGAGAACAATCTTATACCACTCGGGAAATAGCTGACATACTCTAAATATGCAAATCAATAAAGTTATTGATGAAGATGAAAAATGTGCCTCTTATTTCACAGGAAAAAATGTAAGAACTTTTTGGCCAACCCAGTAGAGTGGGATCCAGGTGGTGCAGGAAAGAAGGGAAGGTGAAATTCCAAGCAGTTGCAGTGGTATAGGAAAGGAATTTTTTTAGGTCACTATTTATTCTAGGTCTTATGCTTTTCTTTGGCTTTCATTTGTTCTCCATTCTCTGTGTATGCTGTGTGTCACCTTGGTTTCTTTGCTTATGGTTTCTGCTTGCCATTGACATTTCATAATCTTACCCAGCAGATGTCCCATATCATCCATAAACTTTTCAACAATTAAGACAGTCTGTTTTCACCTCTTTTTTTCTGAACTCTGATAGCAGAGGAAGTATACATCATACAGTTTAGCTATTGGGACTTAGACACTATTTGCTAAGAATTTCATGTCAGTGTGATTTCCTCCTTTGGTATGCAGCTTCTTGAGGGGAAAGAACTATACATACCTCTTTGTGTCTCCCATTTTCTTCAACACTAAAAACTAATCTACTTTTATGCTGTCTTTGTACATGGTATTTCTTCTACCTGAAGATGTCCTCACTACACTCAACAAACTCCAGTTCTTTCAAAATTCAGTTCAAATGCTACTTCTTCAAGTGAAGCTTGTGTTAATCTTAGAAAGGACCAACCTTATCTTACTCCATCATCTATTGTCACACATGTCTTTAATTTCTTTATAGGTTTGGTTTTGCCATTGGACTAGAAAGTTTGGGCCTTTTTGTATTCCTAATGTTTAACATAACACCTTGAACATTCTGAGTGTACAATTAATGTTGGGACTGCATGGAAGAGAGATTTATTTTTGACAGTCTACCCTTTCATAGACTCTTGCTTTATACTTTTATTTTGAAATAATTATAGCTTCGTAAGAAGGGGCAAAAATAATAGAGACTACTGATGCACCTTTTACCCAGCTTTCCAAAATGCTAACAACTTACCTAACTACAGTCCTTTGTGGAGTTTTGAATTTTGTGTTCTCTGGTTATGTAGGCTATTTAAAATAATTTCTTAAAAGGGGCCTTAAAGATTAATGATAGTAGATGATTATTTTGATAGATGACAAGTAATGACCTTTGTACATAAACTTTTCAACACAGTAAGTTTTTAGAATTTCAGTTATTAACATGTTTTTGAGATTTTTTAAAGATTTTATTTACTTATTTAGAGAGAGGGGAATGGAGGGAGGAAGAGAGGGAGAGAAACATCAATGTGTGACTGCCTCTCATGTGGACCCCACTGGGGACCTGGCCAGCAACCGAGGCGTATGCCCTGATTGGGAATCCAACCAGCGACCCTTTGGTTGTAGCCCACACTCAATCCACTGAGCTACACCAGCCAGGGCTTGAGTAGATCTTCCAAATACCTGGTTAAAATCTTTAGACCTTGGATTGTAGAGAAGAGGATTAGCCTTAAATATGCTTTGATTTTAAATTTTGGGAAATTTTTAAATACATTATAAAGTTAAACTTGTTTGGATTCGGAAGTGGGAATATTTGTTAGTTAATAAAGTTCTACGTAAGTTTTAATCTAATGGTGCTTTTCAATAATGTTATTGTCTATAGCTTTTGGTTAGTCTTGCATAGCCTTATTTCATGTATTGCAATAACCAAGTCTCTTTTGTATGGAATCTAAGACAGACCTATATTAAACTAAATTCTGTTACTTTAAATAAAAATTAATTGACTTAATTACAATACTAAAGAGTACAACATTAAATTTTGGAATCTTTTAATTTTAAAAGTCATTATTTCAAAGCATTAATGTTTTTAGTTAAAAAATATGAATTTTCTCTTTTAAAGGTGCATCTGAACTGTTTACTGTTTATTCGACGATTAGCAGAAGAGTCCAGGGCAAATGCTTGTAAGAATAAGTGTGGAATCATTAAAGACCAGCATGTACTGGCTGCCGGAAAGGTAAAGTCTGAATTTCTTTTCTTGAGCAAGAATTAATACTGCCTGGTTCATCACCTCTGTCTGATTTAGATTTCTTTATTCAGCTTTATTGACTCAGTTGATTTGGCTTTTCATGTTAATTGATTTAATTACATAGTTAGATTTTCTTCCTCTACATGTATATTATTGACTGCTAATGCAAAGATTCATGGCTGTTACTTCATCACCATTTAGGGGAATATCAAAATTTGACTGTAATCTGTAGGATTTTGTATTAGGCTATATATAGTTGAGAAGGTTATCACTTTGAAATTTATCAAAACTTTCTTCTTAATCATTTTGTTTTCCTAATTGCCTAATTATTTGTTTTTGTAACTGTATTTTGAGATTTGTGTGACTTACGAGTCAAATTACTTACAAAAGCAGAGAAGATTGCTTGTTACTGGTATTTCTATATAATGTGAGAATATGATGCCCAGGGCAGGGTTTTTTCCAAATATGGTCCTGAGATCATTTCCACTTGATATTAATAGATTTTCCACCTTGAAAAACTTCTGGGGTCATGTTACATTTAGATAACATAGCTCCTTGAATAGTTACAGTGTTATTATGTATATGGAACTTGTTTCTATAAGAATATGCAAGAAATTGGCAACCATGGTTGACTGGGGGATGATATGGGAAAGAGACACCTATTTTTCATACTGTATGTCTTCATATGCTTTTGTTTTGAAATACTGAATAATGAAAGACTCAGAGAAGGTGCATAAGTAGAGCGTTCAGGTACCTTTTTCCCAGCTTTATACAATGCTGACATCTTTATATAACTGTAGTTATGTAAAGTTTAAGAAGGTTATGGGAAATATAGCAGTAAAGAAACTTGTTGAACTCTGTTTAACTTAACATTTTGTAGATTTGTATACATAATCTCATGTTCTCATCATTTTGTAAATTCATTTGGATACATAGTACTTTCTTTTGCAGTACCCATATTAACATCTTATCACACAGAGAAGTACTAACCTAGAGTACATACCTATTTGGTGGCCTTTGTGGAAGCCTGGAAATGTGCATGCCCAGGAATTTTTTTAGGGGTTTCATATTTCCTTACAATTATAAACACTGCAACAAGAGTCTAGGCTGTAAATGTGAGTTTTTCTATAGGTAAAGCAAGGTTTAAGAGCTTAAAGAGTATATGTATTTATTTTAAATTTAGGATTTGTTTTTATTAATAAGTTATAGATATGCTTAACCTAAAAGTAGGTAAGTTCTCTTTAAAAAATTTTTGGATAGGCACCTAACGTTGTCTCCAGCACTTGGCTACTGTACATTGTGCTGCTATGAACACTGGGGTGCATAGGTTCTTTTGAATTGGTGTTTCAGGGTTCCTAGGGTATAGTCCCAGCAGTGGGATTGCTGGATCAAAAGGCAGTTCAACTGTAACTAAAATAAATTTAAAAAATTGTTTTTTATATATTCTGGTCTACCTAATAAATTTTTCACCATGACTCATCTTGGTCTCTAAATAGATATAATTCCAGACCATATATAATAAATTTGGTGTTGCAGTGGATTTGTTTTGTTGTATAGTTATTAAATGCCTCATTTATAATAATAGGTTTTTTGGGTTTTGGAACATTATGTAACTCTCAGGATTACTAAGTTGTCTACAAGCCTCATGTTAGGAACCATTAATATGGACACTTTTGGCTTAAAATTGAAGAAATTAACATCTAGAAGTGACTATAAAACCAGATTTTCAGAATCTAGGCATGTTTTAAGTCTCAGACCATTTATAAGGCAAAAGAATTCCCTAATCACCTTCCATGTTGGGTTTTATAAATTCATAGTCTTGCATATTATACACATAGGAATATTTAACTTTTTGTTGAGTAATTATGTTTTATTTGCCATAAGTATAATATGAATCTTCATTTTTTCTCTCCCTCACAGGTTATTCTAAAGAAGAGTAGAGGTTAGAAGTCAAGGAACACACTTTTGAAATTATGTAATGTATTTTTATTTTAGTTGGTAACAGATCATGAAAGCACTTTTTACATGTCAGTTAATATTGTGTATTATTAAAATATTGGCTGCTTGAGGGATGTGTGCATTTGTATTATTTTTTTTTTTACTGGTATTGAAATATCTCAAACACTTAGAACTACATAACTTTATTTTTGCGGCATTATCTTTATTCATTTTAAATGGACTCAAGTTCTTTACTTTTGTTTCATTGGTATTGCAAATGCTTTGCCTATCAAAAATAAAATCTTACTGTATGAAGTAGCTTGAAGAGATTATTTCTTGAAATTAAGCTTATATATATTTAGCTTTAGACATAATTAACCATGGAATCAATTTGCTTTCTGAAAAAAGGCAATTTACAGTCAAAATTAGGTACATTTTAAACAATTTTAATTCTTTAATGCCTTTGTGTAAGTAATACAGTATACTTTTTATTACTGAGTCATGTTCTACGGTATTTATATACCATAGTTTGTACAACTGTTCACCTAGTGAGGGCCATTTTGATTATTTCCTGTTCTTGACTATTATAAATTAGGCTGTTATGAACAGTCATTTATAAGTTTTTATACAGATAAAGGTTTTCATTTCTCTGGGATAAATGCCCAGGAGTGTGATTGCTGGTCTAATAGTGAATATATGTTTAGTTTTTGAAAATGAAACAGCTAAAGTGTTTTCCAGAGTAGCTGTACCACTTTATATTCCCATCAGCCTTGTATGAAAGATCTACTTTCTTTACATTCTCATGAACATTTGGTATTGTTATTTTTTTATTTTAGCTGTTCTGATAGAAGTGTGTCTCCTCAAGGTTTTTAATTTGCACTTCCCTAGTGGCTAACGATGATAAACATATTTTTATATGTTCATTTGTCATCTATTTGGTGAAAGGCTTCTTAATTTCTGCTAATGCATTTTCTATTTGGATTTTTTTTGTTTTTCTAATGTTGAATTCTGAGAGTTCTTTATTTTAGATATGAGCCTTTGTCAGATAATGTGGTTTGCAACTATTCTGTAGTTTTTCTTTTATCTTAACAGGGGCTTTTGAAGATCAACAATTTTTAATTTTGAAGAAGTCTGATTTATTGGACTTTTTTTTTATGTATTAGTGTCATGTTTAAGAACTCTTCATTAAACCCCAGTCCTGAAGATTTTTTCCCTATATTATTTTTTCGCAGGCTTTATAGTTTGTTTTACATTTAAATCTGCATTCTATTTTGTGTTAATTTTTGTTTAAGGTGTGAGGCTTAGGTCAAAATTCATTTTTTTATTTGTGGATATCCGATTGTTTCAGCACCAACTTTTGAAAAGACTGTGTTTCCTCCAATGAATGTTTTTTGCATTTTTGTCACACATTTGTTATGCTTGTATGGCTATTCCTGGGCTCTGTTCTGTTGGTTTGTTTCAGTCTCCAGCAGTAACACAGAGTCTTTATTACTGTGATTCCTCACTTGATTTTTTTCTTTCCAGAATTGTTTTGGCTTTTCTGATTTCTTTGCCTTTCCATAGAAATTTTAGAATAATCTTGTCTGTATCTACAAAAAAATCTTGTTGGAATTTTGATTGGAATTGCATTAAATGTTTGTATCAAATTGGGGCAAATTGCTATCTTTACTATGGTGATTCTTCCAGTCCATTCCTATAGACTGTCTGTTTATTTATACCTTTTATTTGTAGTTTACACTTTTTTCCTGTTTTTTTTTTGTAATAGAACTTCTTTTGTCATTCTTTTATTTTGTGTTATATATTTTTTAAATTCTCATCTGCAGATTTGTTTATTGATTTTAGAGAGAAAGGAAGGGGGTGGAGGGAGAGAAGAGAGAAAAAGAGAGGAAGAGAAACAATGGCATAAGAGAAACATCGATTGCTTGCCTCCCTCTGGTAATGGCCTGACCAGGGTTTAAACCTGCAGCCTGGGTATGTTCTCTGACTGAGGATCAAACCTGCAATCTTTTGGTGCATGGGGTGACGTTCCAATCAACTGAGCCACCCGACCATGGCCTTTAGTCATTCTTTTAGTGTAGGTCTGCTTGTGACAAATTTACTTAGTTGCTTTCATCTGAGAATGTCTTGATTTCCCTTTAATTCTTGAAGCATATTTTTGTGGGTTATAAAATTCTGAGTTGACAGGGTTTTTTTTAGCACTTGAAAACTTTAAACCCTTTCTTTTTCCTTTTCTTCTGGGTTTTTGATGACACAGAAGTATGATCTTAGAGTTCCACACAAATTCCAGAGGCCTGTTGTTTTGTTATTTTTGGTTCATTGTTCTCTGTTGTTTAGATTGTGTAACTTCTGTGTTCTGTCTTATAATTCACTGATTATTTCCCCTGTCTTCCCCCTTCTGTTGTTTATTGACTTTGATTGGTTTTATTTTTCAGTTACTGTATATTTTAGTTTTCAGAGTTCCTTTGGTTTCTTCTTTATATTGTCTATATCTACTGGGATTTTTAATTTTTTAAAATTTATTACAAGTGTGCTTGTAATTAAGCATTTTATTATGGCTGTTTTGAAATCCTTATCTGATAATTCTAGCATTGTGCCATTTTGGATCGGTATTTTTTTAAATCATTCAATTTGAGATCTTCTTGAGTCTGTATTATGAGTGATTTTTGATTGGAACCTGGACATTTTGGGTATGATGTTACAAGACTGGATCATATTTAAATCTTGTACTGTCACAGTCCCCTGACATGATTCGGATATGTGAGATCTGTCACTGCCTTGTTACTGCTGGTGGGAGTAGAAGTCCAGGGCCTTTACTTAGCCTCCGTTGACAAATAGTGGTGGGAGAGGAGGGGGCTCTCATGATTGCTGGGCAGAGATGGGAGTTTGGCTCCCTACTAGGCCTTGTTGATACTATCTTGATTGGGAGGCAGGGCTGCCTTGGTACTGCTATCGACCTTTATTCCACTGATGTTGTGAGAAGGTGGTCGTGTTACCCTTGATCAGTGGTGTCTGTGCCGACTCTGCTGGTGTCTGATACCAATCAGTGGAGAATGGTGGGGGTTCCTTGTTACCAAAGCATGAGGGTGGAATACCACTCCATTTCTGTGGTCTTCACTGACACTGTGAGGGCCTATCCTCATGGCCGTTGACTAGTGAAAGTCCTGCCTCCATGACTTTCTGTCTCTGATTCCTTACCAATGCGGAAAAGAGGGTGTTCCTTGTTACTGCGGGGGTGGGTGAAATTCTGGCTCTGTATGAAATTTCCAGCTTCTCACGTGGCCTTCTCTGAGACCACCCTAGGTGGGGAGTTTGGGGTGCACCATTACCACCTAGCAAGAGTGGAAGTCTAGGCTGCCTATTTGACCATTGCAAATGGGGCTGGAGAGTGTGGGCTGCAGTTTTTATTTGTGGTGTTTGGTTGGAATAGAGTGGTTATTATGTAAAATTTTTTCTGTTTTGTCCCTTGTCCTTTGGTTAGAGAGAACAGTTTTTTAGCAGGGGGAGCATTTTGTTTTCTTTCTTTTATCTGTGCCCATCAGTATTTCTGAGTTGCCAGCTTCTCTAGTAGCCAGTCTAGGACAGGAGGGAAAAAAAAGCCCAGGGAACTCGCTATTGCATTTTTCCTTTGGTTACAAGTTTCTAGCTAATCTATTATCTCCTTTTGACTTTTCAGAGTCATCTTCTATTTATTTTATATATGTGAAATCCAGAGTTTTTAGCCGAACTAAGTGAGAGAAATAGGGAAAAGTACATTTACTTCATCTTCTTGAAAGCAGGAGTCCCAATAGTTACTTAAGAAAAAGCCTTCAAGGATTTTGACAATAGCTAAGTTAAATGTTCTTAAGAAATGTTATGAAATGAGAAAAAACTCTTGGAATTATCTAAACTAAAAACCTGGGATTTATTCTTGACTTCCTCAAATCCGTCTGCCTCCTTCCTTCATACAGTGAAATAAGTCACCAGGATCTAATTGACTTTGAATGTAAAGTCTCTTCCTACCTCTCTCCTTCATTGCTTTGTTTCAGATTCTTAATATCTGTACAAGAAATATGTACCCATTACCTTACTTATTGCATCATCCTATCTGATATCCTTGATTCTAGTTCCCTACCCTGCCTTCCTACAGTCTCTAGTCCGTCTTCACAATGCTTGAGTTGTCTTTCTGTAAGATATAAGCCCCTCTGCCCCTATTGAAAATCTGTCAGTGGCTTATCATCATTTTAAAATCAAACTTTCAATCCGGATATGTAACACTGTTAGTTACCTTGTACAGACTTATATGTATGTATACAGGGCTTATTATCGGGTAAACTTTCCTTGGGTGTGAGTGGGTTAATGGTCAGAGAACCAGCTGTTAAGCCAGGGAACTCCAAAAATCAGAATATGGGAGGCTATCATGAACTATCCACATCATCCTAAAAGGCCTTGTCTTTTCTCGGTAATTTAATTTCTTTGGAGAAGCATCTTCCACTCCTCATTTTTTTCTGGGATAAGTTTTCTTCATATTAGACTATGCCACACTTAGATCCTCAGTCATTTTGCTTTGCGCCCATCTCCCCCTCATCCTCCAGCCTGCGCGGCTGCCGGGGCTGCCGGGACTCGGGAGAGGCCCTCCGTCGTGCCTGGGCGGGCCGGCTGCCTCGGCTGCAGCGCTTTCAGCCGTTGTTACCTGTAGCTTCTTTGGCTCTGCCTCAGGGCTCACTAGATGCTCTTTGCATCTAGAAGTTTCTTGAAGTCTCTTGAATGTCCACATCTTAATCTCTTCAATTTTGGTTAATACCTTTTTATACTCTATTATGTTAATGGAGCCTAAGAAGGGAAAGAATATGTGTGGTCGATTTTGAACAGACAGCTTCATGGATTCTTAGTTCAATAAGAATTTTCTTAAAGCATTAATGTGCCAAGATTTTAACAAGTTATTTGTTATATAAATACACATTTTAAATGTAGAATTATATTTAATAACAAGGTAGATTATAAGTGTATTAGGGTTTCTCATGAGAATAAATTTGAAAAAAATTAGAATATGTAATTAATGCTAAAGAGTTCTGTAAGTGTATGTAATATAAAGACTTTTTCATTTGACTTTATTTTGAAATAAGAGCTAGACTAGGGAATTTTGGTTTTAGG